ACTCCAACTCAAAAAAAAAAAAAAAAAAGGTTGGGTTCTTACTGAGTCGCCCAGGCTGGACTGCATGATCACAGCTCACCATAGCCTCAACCTTCTGGTTTCAGGTGACTTTTTTCACCTTAGCCTCCTGAGTGGCTGGGACTATAGGCATAGGCCACCATACCCGGCAAACTTTTATATTTTTTGTAGAGACATGGTCTTGCTATGTTGCCCAGGTTTCTACAAAAAACATTTTTAAAAATTTGCCAGGTGTGGTGCTGCACACCTATATTCCCAGCTACTCAAGAGGCTGAAGCAGAAGGATTGCATGAGCCCAGGAGTTCGAGGTTGCAGTGAGCTAGGGTTGTGTTACTGCACTCGAGCTTGGGAGATAGAGTAAGATCCTGCGTCTAAAAAGAAAAAATGAGGCTGGGCTCAGTGGCTCAGCCTGTAATCCCAGCACTTTGGGAGACCGAGGTGAGTAGATTGCCTGAGCCTGCGGGTTTGACAAGCCCGGGCAACTTGGCAAGACCTTGTCTCTACAATAAATAAAAAATTAGCTGGGTGTGGTAGCGTGCACCTGTAGTTCTGGCTCTTGGGAAGGCTGAGGTGGAAGGATCACTGGAGCCCAGAAGGTCGACGCTGGGGTGGCTGTGAGCTTACGTGCCTCTGCACTCCGGCTCGGGTGGCGGAGCGAGACTCCAACTCAAAAAGAAAAAAAAAGAAGAAAACTTAGACCTTACTTTCATTTTGATTTTTTTCAGTTTAAGTACTTCTTTGCTTCTTGTCACTGTTGTACTTAGTTTTGTTTTCTAAATTGGTGGCCCTTCTTTTCAAACATAAATTGAGTCTGTTTGTATTTAACAATATTACAGTCATCAGTAAGTGTTTATAGGCCGGGTGCAGTGGCTCATGCCTCTAATCCCAGTCGAGGAGAGAGGACTGCCTGAGTCCACGGGTTCGAGACCAGCCTGGACAGTTTGATGAGACTTCATCTCTACAACAAATTTTAAAAATTGGGTATGGTGGCGCATGCCTGTGGTTCCAGCTACTTGGAAGGCTGAGGTGGAAGGATTGCCTGAGCCCAGCAGGTAGAGGCTGCGTGCCCCTTCACTCCAGCCTGAGGGACAGAGTGAGAGTCTAACTCAAAAAAGAAGTTTATAGAATCAAAACAGAAATAAATGCTCTCAGTTGAACCCTACACACCTGGGTTTTCTTTTTTTTTTTTTTGAGTTGGAGTCTCACTCTGTGGCCCAGGCTGGAGTACAGTGTCACACTCCCAGCCACTGCAGTCTCGACCTGTTAGGCTCAGACGATCATCCCCGCTCAGCCTCCCAAGTAGCTGGAAATACAGGCACACACCACCATACCCGGCTAATTTTTTGACTTCTTGTAGATATGAGATCTCACCAAGTTGCCTAGGCTGATCTCGACCCCCTGGACTCAGGCAGTCCTCTCGCCTCCGCCTCCCAAAGTGCTAGGGATTGCAGGTGTGAGTCACTGCACCGGGCCACACCTGGTTTCTTGAACCCTAATGTCCGTGGGTGCCATGAGTGGTGAGAACAATCTGACGTGGCACGCCAGCTTACTGATTTGACAGTAACAGCATCAATTAAACTGGGCTGACTCTTACTCGCTTCTTTCTTTCAGTGACAACAGTATTTCCTGTGCCAGATTTCCTTCAGTCCCTAGTAACTGAAGACCTGAACTAGAACAAGATGGAGCGCCCCTTTAAATCCAAACAGGCACTCGGGCCTGACTCTTGGTCACGCCCTTTACCAGCGGGATCCAGCGAGCAGGGACGACGTGAAGGTCTGCCACAGCACAGCAGCTCGGCTGCCTTCACCTCTGGGAATGACGTCAACAAGGGAATGTGCAGATGGTCAGCAGCATCACAAGACGAAGCCAAGGCCACTTACTCAAGAGTCGCAACAACAAAGAGCCCTGAGGAATGCGGGTCAAGGCGGGCAGCTGCAGCTGGCCCAACAGGGTGTCACCCGCCTCGTGTTCACCGAGAAATCTGCTACGGTAAACAAAATTGGCATCTCCTTGAACGCAAGAAAAGAACACAAGTAGGTCCATCGCCACTCTGTGACCATGAAGGCCAAGCAGTTCCTGACTGAACAACTAAAAGGACAAAGCCTTCAAAAAAAAATATTAGTTATTCTCGTGTGTTCATAGCTGAAGCTCTACTTCTGAACTCAAAACATTACTCAGTATTTAAGAACTGCAATTTAGACAACATGGCTTCGGACGTGTTAAAAGTTCAATGGGGAAAAACGAAGATGTCTTTTAATTTTGCTTTGATGTCAAATTAAACAGCAGCCAAAAAGATTCCGTAATGCATGGGTGAGTCAATTCAAGAGTGCTTGCCAAGTTCAACCACCTGGCTTCTGGCCAGGAGAAAGTGGACATCAACACAAATGTCCTCCCACTTCATTTCTGGAGAGAAAAATGGAAAAGCAAACCCAGGGCGCAATGGCCGAGCAGGAGCTTCCTTCCTTCCTCCTTGCTGCCCCCTTCCGCATCCTACTTCAGCAGGCGACTCAACTGGTCCTGCAGGTCCCACGACTGCTCCACACTAGGAATCAGAAGAGAAAGGGTCACCTGGGAGGCGCAATAAAGACCCCGCGTGCACAAACGACTTATGTTTTCATGCATCAACATGCTGCAGACGAGTCAAAACTGATATTGGGCTGGGCTTGGCGGCTCAGCCTGTCATCCCAGCACCGTGGGAGGCCAAGGCGAGTGGATTGCCTGAGCTTGTGGGTTTGAGACAAGCCCGGGCAACTTGGTGAGACATCGTCTCTCCAACAAATCAAAAAATTAGTCGGGCGTGGTGGCACACGCCTGCAGTTCCGGCTACTTGGGAGGCTGAGGTGGGAGGATTGCCGAAGCCCAGGAGGTCAACGCTCGGATGGCTATGAGTGTGCCAGTGCACTCCAGCCTGGGCGACGGAGTGAGACTCCAACTCAAAAAAAAAAAAAAAGAAAGCCTTTACTAGCAGTGAATTGAGCTACCACACGCCTTTGTGAGATACGGTATTCCTTAAATCCAAAATAAGCTCTCCCGGAGCATGTGTCCTTGCAGGGGCAGGAGTCTGCCAGCATTTTGTGTGGACCCCAGGCTCTGCAGTGTAGCCCAGCCTGGTTCAGTTGGTACCCTGTGCCACTGCCTTTGGGGTCACTTACTTCTTCTGAATAGCTTCTTGCCTAAATCAGAAAAGGAAAGAGGAAAACAAACATGAGAAAACGAGAAGTTATTCAGGATGGGAGACAGGCCATGCAGGCAGGCGGAATTCCCAGCATAAGTCCCATACCACGCTGCCGTCCAACCCAGCCCAAGGCTGTGCCAGGAGCAGGGACTCCTGAGTGCGGCTCTGCCAGGGGACAATTCCACACCTGAACAGGTACTAACATGCCCCGGAGCTAGGGGTATGGCCCAACCAACAAGCTGAGTGCCTGGCTCAAACTGAGTCTGGGGGTCTGGAGTCGAAGGGTCACATGCCAAAACACACTCCCCAGGGAACCAATGGGGCAAACACCAGCTACTTAAGTAGCAGCAGGGAGCCTCCCAACTACATACTTCCAACAGGCAAGTCAGTATGATATCAATTACATGAAACAAGATGGAAAGCAGAGTTATAATCTTATCCAAAATCAGAATGGAGAAGGGGGTCTCTATACTCAAACGCCCCAGATGGCTTTGTGTGGCATGTGTGGGAATGCAGGACCCAGGTCACAGTCCCTGGTGGAGGGCTCTCTCCAGAGAGCGGGGCAAGGCCATCAAAGGTTGATGCACTGGCCTGCACGTGCCTAGCACAGCGCTGGCGCCATGCCAGCAGGGCCCTCCCCGGTGGGGTTTACAGCCACTCCCTCTGGGGAGCCACTTAACGTGGGAAGATCCGGAAAGGCGCCCCGCCCTGCACTCGCCCCCCATCCCAACTTGTCTGGCGCTCTCCGGCATCCTCTCCGTGAAGGGAAGCCATCTCGGACCTCCCGACCTCTCTCCCACCACCCCCACGGGAACACGGGCGGGCGGAGGGTGAGGACGGTGTGCCGAGGCCGCGCAGACTCACTGGTACTGCAGGTGCGTGGTGATGATGGCCATCTTCCTTAAGCTCTGCATAAAGAGAGGGAGACAGGGCGTTCCACCTCCTTGAGCCACACTAACTAGGCCTCAAGCCCAAGCCCGGAAGGGAACGGCACTTACGTCTTCTGAGTGCAAGACGGCATCCTCCTGCAGGGCCATGTTTCGAGCAGCCTGACCCAGCAGCTGCAAGACAAAAATAAAATGGCAATCATCAGGCGTCCTGTCATCTCTCGCAGCCGTTCCAACCATACCCTCTCCCCTCTACAACCAGAGATGCGCAAAACACAACGGAGGTGACTTTCTATTCGTTCCTGCTGAAACTCACTCCGCCGGCACCACTGTGGTTCTGGCGTGGGCTCGACGTCTGTCCCCAAGCCACGTGCTGGATAAGCGCCTGCTGGACACGCATCCCCAACCCTGAGCTGCCTGCAGCGAGTTCACAGGAGCTGGGAGAAGTCTGCAAGAGGACTCTGGCACCTCAGGTCTAGCCAGGGAACCAAGCTTTCCATCCTTTTTTTTTAGTTGGAGTCTCAGGCTGCAGTGCAGTGGCACACGCACAGCCACCCCAACGTTGACCTGTTGGGCTCCAGTGATCCTTCAGCCTCAGCCTTCCAAGCAGCCAGAACTATTGGTGCACGCTACGACACCTGGCTCATTTTTGATGTATTGTAGAGATGAGGTCTCGCCAAGTTGCCTAGGCTGGTCTCGACCCCGTGGGTTCAAGCAATCCACTCGCCTTGGCCTCCCACAGTGCTGGAATGACAGGCCGAGCCACAGAGCCTGGCCACGCTTCCCATTCCTGAAAGGCTGATTTGAGATCGGGGAGTTGAGAGAGTGGGTGGGCGGGGGGGGGGGGGGGGGGGGGGCAGCGATGGCATGGGCTAGAAAGGCAGAAGGAACGGAGCTGCTCAGACGTGAAGCGAGGCCTGACAATTTTCTCGCCTCCGCCTCCCAAAGTGCCGGGATGACAGGTGTGAGACACCATGTCCAGCCTAGCTTTAAGTTTTGTGTGTTTTTTTTTGAGTCAGAGTCTCACCATTTCGCCCGCAGGGCAGTGGCACGCTCCCGGCCACCGCACCCTCGAGCTGCTGGGCTCCGGTGGTCCTTCCGCCTCAGCCTTCCAAGGAGCTGGAACTACAGGTGCGCGCTACCAAGCCCAGTCAATGTGTTGACGTACTCTAGAGACGATGCCTCGCCGTGTTGCCCAGGCTGGTCTCGAACCCCTGGGCTCAGGCAATCCTCTCGCCTCCGCCTCCCAAAGGGCTGGGAAGACCGGGTGCGCCCCACGCCCAGCCTAGTTTCAAGTTTTGAAACCGGCAAGCCTTCACGTGCTCCTAACGTCAAACCCGGCCTTGCCCTCCCTGTTCTCTCCCGCTCTGAGCACACCTGTCTTCGCTCGGGTTTCCTCTCGCTTCCAGGCGGGCAGGTCCGGGAAGGCCAAGCCCGAAGCCAGAGGAGGCCGAGAGGCCCAAGGAAGAGGCGGGCACGTCCAGGCTCCAGCGCGCGGGGCGGCTCGGGGCCCTCGGGACGGCGGCGCGGCCCTCGGACGCGGCTCTCCCACCGGGG